GGAGCTTAGCCTATGACAGACCTAGTACCATTAGGCAGGAAATGATTCTATCTCATTCCTTTGCTTTTACCCTCCTGAAGTACATGAGAACTGATTACAGGTTCTATTTAATCCTTATGCAACCTTGTGCTCCCAACATTAGAATTATAGTTATAGTTTGGAATTTATTTTATTCAAGACTTTGGCCTAATTGTGAAAAAGAATCTCAGATTTCTACAATAAAATAACTGGGAATCCATTTTTATTACTACATAACAGATACTTCTTTATATTGATTATTTTATTTAATTCTCAATAAATCCTTATTGTAGGAATTATCTTTTTTATTTTATAGATAGGAAGAGTAAGACAGAGAGGTGAAGTAAAAACTGACCAATATTTCAATATTACCCATTAGTAAATGGTAGAACCAAGATCCAAACCCAAGCCATGGGTTTCTAGAGTTTGTCTTTTAACAGTATGTTACATTAGACTGTCTTTCAGAACATTATAAGTCACAACATGAGCACATACATTTCAAACAATCCTCCTACTCACTAGTTAATACTGATAAGCTGGTGAGGACATCAAAGATGGCTAAAAGTATTAGCATGTGAGATCAGTCTGCCTGGATTCAAATTCCAGCTTAATTACTCAGAAGCTCTGTAACCTGGAAGGAGGTTATATAACCATTTCGTGCTTGAAATACCACATTAGAAAAATTTACATAACTTCAACTCCACAGGATTATTGTGAGGATTCAATGAGTTAATAAATGTAAACTGCCTGACATAATAAATGCTTAACGCAATTAATATTCACCATTATTATTTTGTATGTATGTGTTCAGGTAAATATATAGAGAGAGACTTTTCAGCAAGATAGAAAAAGGCCCTTGCACAGAGCATCTAGAATTTGCTATGGTCCCTTTGATTGTTTCTTACTCTGAAATGAACACAGAGTTCAATTTGTTTTCTAGTACAGATGGATAGCCAGTGCCATCTAGTGGCATATTGATAACAAAGTCCCCAAATAAGAAGGTTGCTCTTAAAGGGGTAAAATTTCTAGATAAAATTTTGATTTTATTAAGATAAATTAAATCTAATACAGTTAGAACTCTCTAAGAAATTACATGTAGTAGTTTGTAAAATGATTTTTAAATTTTTTTAATTGATAGATTAAAAATTATATGTATTATGGTATACTATATATGTTTTGATGGAGCTGGAGGTTAGACCCCAGAGCCTTACTCATGCTATGCAAGCTCTGTATAACTGAGCTACATTCCCATTCCATTATGTTTTCAAACATGTATACAATTTTATAGATTGGCCAAGTCAAACTCATTAGAATATCTAATCTATATATAATTTTGTGTGGTAAGACCATGTACAATCTACCTTCTCAGTAATTTTTAAGTATACAATACATTGTTAACACTATAGTCACCATGTTGTTCAACAGAATTTATTCATCATGACAGAAATTTTGTGCCCTTTGACCTATTTAGACACACACTCACACCCATTCACACACACATACTCCAGCCTCCATCACAGTAACCACCCTGTATTTCTATGGGTTTGACTTGTTTTAGATTCTACATTTAATGAGATCATGCAGTAATTGCCTCTTTGCCTGGTTTATTTCACTTAGCATAATGTACTCCATATTCTTTCATGTTATCACAAATGGCAGAATTTTCTTCTTCAGTGACTCAACATCATTCCATAGTATACACGCAATACTTTCTTTATCCATTTATCTGTTGATAAGTATTTAGGTTGATTCTATATATTGGCTATTATAAAAAATCCTTCAGTGGATATGAGAATACAGATGTCTCCTTGGCAAACTGGTTATACACCTAAAAGGGGGACTCCTGGATTATATGATAATTTTATTTTTAACTTCTGAAGAACCTCCATACTGTTTCCTATAATGAGTGTACCAATTCACATTCTCAACAAAAATTCAGGACAGTTTCGTTTTCTCCTCATCCTGGTGCCCTTTTATGCACATCCTTTTCAACACTTATTTTTTGTTTTCATGATAGTAGCCATCCTAACAGGAGGCAATATCTCATTATGGTTTTAATTTACTTTCCCCTAATGATTAGTGTGATTGAGCATTTTTTATATACATGTTAACTATTTTTATGGGTTTTTTTGGAAATGACTATTTAGTTTCTTTGTCTATTTTTTTAATCAGGTTATTTGTTTCCTTGCTATTGAGTTTTGTGAGTTGCTTGCATTTTTTATATTAACCCTTATCATGTGTGTGATTTACAAATATTTTTCCCATTCTATATGTTGTCTCCTCTCTGTTGTTTCCTTTTCTGTGCATGAGCATTTTAGTTTGATACAATCCCATTCATGTATTTTTGCCTTTATTGCCTGTGCTTAGGGGTCACATCTAAGACTCAGAGCCCAGAAGAATGTCAAAAATCTCCCCAAGTTTTTCTCTTTACACTTTACAGTTTCAGGTCTACATTTAAGTCTTTGATTAATTTCTTAAAGAGACTGTCCTTTTCTAATGTGTGCTCTTGTCAAAAATAGTTGACCTTAAATGTGAATTTATTCCTGGGCTCTCTATTCTGTTTTATTGACCTACGCATACCTTTTTGTGCAAGTACTGTGCTGATTTGAGTACTATAGCTTTGTAGTTGATTTTGAGATCAAGTAGCATGAGGCGTATCTTTTTTCCTTTTGCTCTGAATTGCTTTGGATATTCAGGGTCTTTCATTGTTTCAAATGAACTTTAGTATTGTATTATCTATTTTTATGCAATGTACTACTGAAATTTTGATAGGTATTATAATGAATCGATAGATCACTTGGAGTAGTATGGGCATTTTAAGAGTTAGTATTGTTATATGTCTTGTAAAACTATTTAAATATTGTAAAAATGCAATTGGAGGAAGTTTCAACAACTGCAAGCTATAAAATGATTGCTTAGCAAATACAGTGCCAAAAGTATTTTTTTTTTGCATAAGCCAAACAACTGTCAAACACCAACAAAACTTTTTGGGAAGATTTATAATGTTAATGAACTTTTAATCTTCTCTAAATCTCATTTATCTAGAATATGAAATGGGAGTATTGCATGTGTTGAATTCTTCACCTAGTTTAAAAAGGACGTGATATAACACTACATTAACATGAAGAATATACAGCATTATCTATCTCAGAATTTTTCTCAGAAGGAAACCTTGATAACTTCTATGATCCTTTCCAATTTTACTATTTTTAAATGTCACTAGATTGGAGAAAAATAATTAAAAGTATGAATTTTGATATAATTTAAACACCATAAAATGTATCATGTATACCAAGATATTAAGTTATATCATTAAAGGAAATATAAAAACATCATATAACTTTACTTTCTGCCCATCATAAAATTGTTGATAAAAACTTACATAACTTGAAACTGTAAAAACTAACTTCTAATATAGCAATCCTCACTTGCACAATTCAAATATGCACAAATTTCAGAACCTCAATTTAGTTAAGTGATACCATTCCTCCAACAACAACATAGTTCAAATTTCAGCTATCATTCTATATTAACTGTAATTACATAACAGCTACTGGTTGTTCAGTCCACAATTACTATGTAAATAACAGATCAGCATCATGATTGCTGACCAATCATACCACTTCTTTCAAAGACCCCTGGAGAATGGATACTGCATGTTTTTTCCTCATGTTTTTACCCAGTTAAAACATGGGAAACCAAAGTATGTTGTAACCATGTCTCCCAGACAGATAAACCCATATGACATTTTACAAAGTGGAAAACTAACAAAGGGCATTAACCTATAAAGATGAAAGTTCAGTGAACACTCATAAAATGATAATACTAAAAGTGAAATGTACATGAGTAGTAGATCTGAAAAATGATAACAGCAAAACAAAGATAGGAGAGACAGAGGCCTGTATAAAGTGAAGGCAAGAACAATATTGAAAAGCCACTTCCACAGGGTTCTAATTGACTGTAAATTGACTGTGGAATGCTGACATTGCATCCTTTGCAGAGATTTGGCTATGCATCCAGAGGAACTTAGTGAAGGTGAACTGATTGACATAAACATAGGAAGTGTGATAAAAAGGATGATGGTGTCCCAGAGGAAATGATAACTGCATAAAATTTCACATTAAAGGAACTATTAGCAATATTTCATAACATTGAAAGTATCAAGGATAAAATGTTGGAAGCTGATCAAAACATGGACAGGAATATGACAGTTCAATTTGCCATAGCATTGAAAAGATGTTCACTCCACATCGTAAGTTGTGTAATGAGGGGTAAGCACTTCAAACTTCAAACTACTCTTTTTTGTTTTTTCAGTACTGGAGATCAAAGTGAGGGTCTCACACATGCTAGGCAAGTGCTCTACCACTAAGCTATATCCCTGTCCCTCTTATGTTGAGACATTAAGTTGCCTCGATTGTCCTCAAACTTGCCATCCTCCTACCTAGATCCCCATAGTAACTGGAATTACAGACTTATGTCACCATGCCAAGCTCATACAATGCACTACTCTTTACAAAACAAACACAAAACAAAAAAACTTTAATTCTCAATGTTGCTAATGTTTTAAATTAGTGTTTTGAATAAACATTAGTTTCACTTTTTATTTCACTATATTTATAAACCATACCAAGACAGTTTGTAAGAATTTAAGAAAAAATGTTAAAGTCACAGAAAAATTATTGTTTCTTATTGATTATTAAGATTATATTGCTTGATTTTAGTGTACACAGTCATTTTTATGGTTGTACACTATTGTGCAAAGCAAGAAGTGTGGGTATTGCCAATGCCTAAATTTTTCTTTCATAGGTTTTCATCAATGTCACCATAAATGATTCAGAAGTTGTTACCTATTACCCCACCATTAGTATAATAGTTAGTCTCCTTCTGAATATATTGCATAAATTACCTGTAGGTTTATGATATTATGTTGAAAGATACCCTTTATCCTAGACAAACCAGACATATGGAAGAGCCTTACGTACCTGGAAGCGGTAACTGAACTAATATACCACTGACTCTTGGGTCCATGTTCAATTGATCAGTTATATCCAAAAGTTCTTCCTGAGAAACATCCTTAGGTTTTAGAATGAGCTCACTACAGATACCTGGAAGAAAAATAAGCAAAATCACTTACCTAACCAAAATATGGTTTTTCATTAATGGTGTTCAACAGTGTGTGATTCATTTCCTATGCACCCATCCCACTGGAGGGAAAGCCCCTCATACAAAGACAGTGTTCAACATATCATAGGGTAGGATTTCTCAAATAGATCAGATGTTTTCTCATGACTCATACGCATTCTTTGGTTATACATTCTTTCCCAAGTGACAATCTGCACTAATTTGATACAACCTACTATTAATATATTTAACCAGAGTAAAAATACCACTACCACCAACACTATTAGGCCAACTAGAACAGAGTAAGGGAGGTTATTATTTCATTAAAGCAAATATAGTGAATGTGTAGGCCCTTTTAATATTAAGTATTCCTCTAATATCTCCCATAAAATATGAAATCATGTTGAATTCACTCCATAAAAAATCAGAAGAAAACTAGTAAGATTAACATAAACTTTGGTAACTGGGTAATCTCTAATAATAATGATACATGTTATTCAAATGATGCTTATTTGATAATCATTATCTATAATGATCACACTTTTAAATAAAATCACTAAACAATAATTCCAACTAAAACACATACCCACCTACTGCTGAAGCAGCTTTTATCTTATTCCTGACATATGTATGGCTTGCTGGGTTGTCTCCCACTAAAATGATACTGAGGTGAGGTCTTCTGTGCCCAAGGGCAATCCATGATTCCACACCTTGATGTATTTCTTTCTGGATTTGCTTGGCCATTTCAGTTCCTGAGATGACAACAGCTTCATATCTATGGAAAATGAAACAAAAAGTTTTAATACTAAAAACGCATATATATTCTTTCTGAAGAGATAAATCATCAGAGCTTAGTTAAAACCAGCACCTAACTTCAAACTTGTGCTCCGTGTTGTGTATGAGTAGCCCCACAGACTTGTGACCTTAAGGCTAAATCAGTTCACTCTTGCTAAAAAATATTTCATTCATTCCACTGCATAAGTTTAAGGTACAAGAATGAAAAAAACAAGGATAGGCATCCAAAATTTGATTTTCTCAATTATATTGAACACTCTTCAGATTCATAAATATATTTGTAATTTTGTGAAGGATTCCAATTCTGCTTTTTAGTTCTACTTTATAATCCACCCCCTATAGGGGAAATGTTTGTCTTTCCCCAAAATTTGTATGTTGAAATCCTAACCCCCAAGGATATGGGATTAGGAGGTGGGTCATTTGTTAGATGATTAGGGCAAAAGGATGGAGTCCTCATGAATGAGACTAGAGAGGGTCTTATTTTTCCGTGTGAGCACACAGAATATAACTATGCACCAATCAAGGAGGAGGTCCTTACTAGATACCAAATTTCCTGGTACCTTAATCTTGGATTTCAGCCTTCAGAACTTGAGAAATAAATTTCTCTTGTTCATAAGCCACTAAGTTTATGGTATGCTGGTTTAGCAGCCTAAATAAACAAAATCACTACTTTATACATTTCTTTATAACTTTCATTCATATACATTTTTTAATTGTCAAGCCACATACTCAAGATCTCTACTATAATATTGGCTATATTATATATTCTTTCTAAAGAGATAAATCCTCAGAGCTTAGTTAAAACTAGCACCTAATTTCAAACTTGTGCTCCATGTTGTGTATAAGTAGCCCCCAAAGCTTGTGACCTTAAGGCTAAATCAGTTCACTCTTGCTTAATACATCCTATATAAGAGCCTGAAGCCATGAGCACCATGCTACACAACTCTTTTAACTTCTCCAAGGAATAATTTTATTCTATCACCCTGATCAGAACCCTGACTTAAGCTGTCAGTCTTGTCATGCTTATTACAATTATAGACTAAATCAAATTAAAATAAATATGCTTAATTTTGAGTTTTATTTTTAAAGATAAATTAATAAACTTTTTCCATTATGAATTTTTGTTTCCCATATTTTATGAATTTATTTAAGTGGCCTTTTAATACTAAAATATAAATTACCTTCTATATTAGCAAATATTAAGGGTTGCAGATATGATAAATAATTACAGCACAATTCATTTCTAAGAGATAGTAAAAAAGTAAATACTTTTAATAAATTAATTTGTGTCAGCAATATTCAGTTAGGATAAAACATTCTTACAGAAGCAGGTTTATCTGCTAACAGATAATTCACTCTCACAGTAAAGAACACATTTATATTTTAAAATACAAAACATTTTGGTCTCTGTCTTAGGTTTATAGCATATGAATAGAAATGTTGTTGTTGATGCTATTAATTGATTCTCTGTTAAACACAATAATTTGTTCATAGACTACTATGAAGCTGTCCGTCACTAAACATGGTCCAGGGTAATTATGGACCAGATGCTACGAAGACATGTGACCCTAAGGATGTCAGAAATGACAATGGCATAAACTGATTCCTAGCTTCCAAAGAGACAAAACAACTATATACAGATTAAATTCGACTACATCCTATGTTAAGTCTGAGAACGTGGAAGGGATTCCTTTACAATAAAGCATTAAGATGTTAAATCAGATTACTATGTATAACTGAAATGATATAGCCTAGCTGGTGTTTGTGAGTAAATTAAGAATTGAGATTCTGAGAATTTTCATTAGTAACTGGCCCTTTGCATTGATCCCTTCAGTCACCTCAGAGCCCAACCAAGCCTACTCTGTAGAAACAATAAGAAACTGAATGAAGCTACCCAGAATTAGCAGAGGTCCCATGAGAGAATGCCTGCATCAGTCTATACGCTAGAAGAACTGAAAACAAATTTTCTGGATCACAGAATGTAGTGCATAAAAAAAAATGAGACTTTTCAATATGCATACTATTGAAAAGCTAAAAGGGTAAAGTGCACCACTTACACGGAAACTATATTCCAGTTAAAGAAGACATATGAAAAAAAATTTAAGTAAATATTTAATATATCATGTGTGACATAATAGAGGGAAAGGACCCATTTGAGGGTCAAAATTATTTTGTATCAATGGTTAAGGTGAAACTGTTAAAAAAGGTGATATTGGAACAGAAATAAATAAAACTAATAAGTAGTGTGTAAAAAGAATATTAGGCCCAGGGAAGCACATAGCATAGCATGTATGAAAGCTTTTAGGCAGGAGTGTGCTGGCATGTTGGAGGAGCAGCAAGAGTTGCTATAGTGAGGAGAACAAATTAACCAGGAAAAGATAGGAAGTCAGAGAAGTAGCTAGATATCAGGTCATACAAGGCCCTGCAAGTCTTTAAAAGGAGATTGGCTTTTATTGTGAGACAGGCAGCCATTTAGAGATTTTGAGAAGAATGACATGAACTGATTTTCTTTTTGAAAATGAAATCTAGTGAAAATATGGAGGGTAGATTTATAAAATCTCAAGGAGAGAAGGAGATGCCAATGAGACCAGTGTATTCCAAGTAAAGGATGCTGGTGCATTAGACAGTACTGGAGGTGCTAAGTTGTCTAATTGGGAATCTTTTTTTAGGGCATTTACTGAGATTGGGTGCAGGATTTGAGAAGAAGGATGGAAGTCAAAGATGACACCAAATTTTTTTTAACCTCAAAAATAAGTAAAAAGGAGTTTTTACTAAAATGCAAATTCCCAGGGCCACTTCATGAGCTTCTTTAGACTCACTGCTAAAGAACACTATGCTCACCAAGTTCCAAACTACACACCAACTACATTTTAATTCACCAATGATGTATGTTCTGATTTCTGGGCCTTCACATATACTATTCCTTCAGCCAAGCATTCTCTTCTCTTTCTTACCCCTCCAGCCTCCCTGGCAAGTCCATCCAACACATTACTCAAGTCTCAACTTAGAAGCCTTTCTACACCATGGAGGAATTGCCTCTGCTAGGGGCTCCTACAGTAGTCTGTTCTTAACCTTCAGTACTATATTAAATTCTTATTAAAATTAATCTCTCTCCCTAGTAGACTCTAAGCTTTCCTTTATTCTCTTGATATTACCAAGGTTTTTAACTTTAATCAATTAGCTAAAGGGTATTTCATTGTTATTTTGATATACATTGCCCTAATTACTAAAGTTTGGATGTCTTAGAGGTGTATTGGCCAAAGTTCTTCTATTGAAGGCCTGTTGTCTCTTTTGACCATTTTTCTGTTCAGTTACATTATTAACCTATGTCCATGTTTTAGTAGTTATTTTATAGTATTTTGGTAATTGTTTAGTAGAACTATATTTTAGTTTAATAGTTATTATTCCCCACAGCTTTATTAAAATATAATTTAAAAAGACAAACTATATGTGTGTGTGTATTTATGGTGTACAACATGTTTTGTATATGTATGCATTGTAAAATGGCTAAATAAAGCTAAGTAACATGTCTATCATGTTACAAACTAATCACTTTTTGTTATGAAAACATTTAAGATCTATAGTCCTATAATATTCAAGTATGAAATACATAGCCACTATGCTGTACAGTAGATCTCAAGAAACTATCCATCCTAACTGAAACTTTGTACCTTTTGATCCACATCTCCCTAATTCTTTCTTCTCACCTCTCGCCTCTAGTAACCACCATTCTAATTCTGAGTTCAACTATTTTAGATTTCACATGTAAGCAAGAGCATGTGGTATTCTGTGTCTAGCCTATTGTACTTATCATAAGGTCCACCAAGTTCATTCATGTTGTTTCAAAAGACAGGATTTTCTCTTTGTGGCTGAGCAACATTCCATTCTGTATAGTTATATAGCAGATTTTCTTATGCCTTCATCCATCAATGGATACAGGTTGTTTTTACATCTTGGCTATTATGAAAAATGCTACAAAGAACATCAGAGTATAGAGATCTCTTCAACAAACTGATTTCATTTCCTTGGAATATATAACCAGAAGTTGGATTGTTGGATCAAATAGTAATACTATTTTTAATCTTTCTAGGAACCTCTTTTCTAGGAACCTCTAATTATCTTCCATAATTGATATACATTCCCACCAACAGTGCACAAAGTTTCCTATATCTCCATATCCTCAATACTTGCTATTTCTTTACTTCTGATAATAGCCATCCTAATGGGTGTGAAGCAATATCTCATTGAGGTTTCAATTTGTGTTACCTTGATGACAAATGATATTTTAGCAATTTTTTCATAAATCTGTAGGCCATTTTTATTTCTTTAGAGAAGTTCATATTAAAGCCATGTGCCCAGTTTTTTTCATTTGCCCATTTTTAAGTGGGTTGCTTATTGAGTTGAATTCCTTATATTTTTATATTAACACTTACTAGGTATAGGGTTTGCAAATATTTTCTCTCATTTTGTATGTTGTCTCTTGACTGTCAAGTATTTCCTTTGCTGTGTGTAAAGTTTTGAGTGTTTTGCAATACCATTTTTGTTTTTAAGTCTTATGCTTCTGGGCTCATGTCCAAAAACGAATCCTCTCCCAGACCAAATTCAAAGAGTTTTTCCATATATTGTCTTCTAGAAGATGTATGATTTCAGGATTTAAGTCTTTAATCCATTTTGAGTTTTGTATATGGCATGAGATAGTCTAATTTCATCCCTCAGTATAACAATATTGCTTTCCCAAAACCACTTATTAAAGAAACTTTCTCTATTGTGTCCTTTCTCCATCTTCAATTAAATATAAATGTGTGGGATCTCTATTCTGTTCCATTGATCTACATGCTTGTTTTTATGCCAAATTACTATAACTTGGTAATATATTTTGAGATGAGGTAGGGTGATGCCTCCATCTTCACTCTTCTTATCCAAGACTGTTCTGGCTCTTCAGGATCTTTTATAATTCCATGTGAACCTAAGGATTTTTTT